ATACCAAAATATGTCATCTTTAATGAGCCTCCTCATGGAGTTTTTGATTATGTGATTACTTGGCTGTTTTTTTTTTTTGTGTGTGATTATTTGATTACTAGACCAAATATTTCATGATTTTTTGATTATCTAGGACTGTATTTTAGATTAATTAACTACCAAGTTTAAAAAACATATTTGTGTGTATAGTAAACATATAAAATTTAGCTTGAAAGACGTCAATGTTTTTCGCCTCGCTCCGCTCGGCAAAATTGTTAAGAATTAAATCCGAAGATTGAACGCGTTTGTCCAGTAATATTATTAAAATTCATACGTATATTAACGTGCTCATATATATAAGTATAACGAAATCAGAGATTTATCTTGTAATTAGATTGGTTCGTCTAATTAAGTATTTTTATCTGGAGTAAATTTACTAACTTCTTTAAAAGGATTTGAACAAGAATGTGTCCATAGTACATGAATGCCCCACTCGCACTATCATTTTCTATGTCCAGTGGACCGTGAATTTGCGGTCAGAACTTTAACTTGGCATTAAAATTAGAAAGGTCATATCATATGAAACATGTGTACTGAGTTTCAAGTTGATTGGACTGCAACTTCATCAAAAACTACCTTGACCAAAAACATTAACCTGAAGCGGAAAAGACGGATGAACAGAAGAACGAACGGACGCACAAACCGAAAAACATAATGTCCATAAATGGAACATAAAAAAAGTACTGAAATTGAATGAAGGTCTGGTAAATCTCAATAAGACCATAACAGGCATATCCAAATAAAGTTCCCTGAAGTCAAAGACAACTTCCCCCACCTGAGATCTATTTCCACTACTTCTGCAATATTGTATTTATCAATAATAATATAAATAGAAATTGTATGCATGTAAATTAAAAACGATCAGTGTAAACTTATAAATCCTTTAAATAAACTTATTTTAAAAGGTTACCAATTGAACACTGTAAATAGATCTTTGAATATTGTTTTAATTGGTATAAATATTACTTTGTTATCACTAACTTAAAACCATACTACATATTATTGTTATACACACCAAGGTACTACAATCTGTTGATACCTTTGATTTGGCATTGCACAAGGTCATGTCTTTTTCTGACTGTTAATAACGTCTTTACACTAAGTCCATTGGATGTTGGATGTGTACTGATTGATATTTTAGTCTTAGATACATGATTTTTGTATTAGGTTTTATTGGCTTTAAACTAGCTGTCAGTACTGCGATTACTCTCAGATCTGTACTTTGTGTCCCTTTTTGTTTGTTAAGGATGTATAAATACCCTGCCACGTCCGGTCTGTGCTTTTGTTAGATGTTTTTTTTCTGTTTTTGTCGATCTGATATGTTAAGCCCTTTTCAATTGATTTTTATAGTTTGTTCTTATGTTGTGCTGTAACAAAACTGTCCTAGGTTAAGGGGAGGGTTGAGCGCTCACAAACATGTTTAACCCCGCCACATACTGTATGTGCCTGTCCCAAGTTAGGAGCCTGTAGTTCAGTCGTTGTCGTTTGTTGATGTCTGTCATATTTGTTTTTTTGTTTTATTGTGTTATTAATTAGGCCGTTATTTTTTTTTTTTATTGAACTCTTTCATATTTTTCATGTGAGGGCCTAGTAAACCTGACTATACTGTATGGTTTTTTTCTCATTGTTGAAGGTAGTACGGTTGCCTACATTGTATATATATATAACTGCTTACATCCACTTCATTTGAACTTTGGGGATAGTTGTCACATAGGCAATCATACCACATCTCCTTTTTAAAAAATGTTGAGGGGGTTGAAATTTGTATTTCTTAGGAAAGTTCCAATGTTTTCCTCCACGGTCACCCAGTTTTAATTGGATATTTTCATATTTTGCTGAACCCTTGGATTTGCGTTTAGAGCCAACCAGAGCTTACTGACTGAGGATGGGTAGTTGAAGACCATATTGTGAGCTCTAGGTGTCTTTTTGTGTATTGCATATGGTGATTTGGTGATGTCTTCATGCCATTGTCCCATTACTTTGTATAGACAGCTTATAAGTCAACCTTATCTATCAAAGACGACAAATGATGGCCAAAGCTCTCCTAGGCTTTTGTATAGTCAGGCGAGAAACAAGATATAAACTGACTTGGCTTGGTATAAACATGTATATCTAGTAAACTCGTATAAATTTAAGTCAAATTAATAATTTAAGACAACAAAAAATATGAAAGTGTAAAAAAAAGTTTTTAATAAATGTTGAAAATATTATTAGGGCGCTGCCATTCGGTGATCAGTCTGTCCGTCCATCCGTCCGTCCGTAACAAATTGTGTCCACTCTATATCTAGAGAACCGTTAAGATTTCAAAGTTTATACTTGACATATATATCAACCAACACCAGAGGGTGTGTCATAATGTATGTACAAATTCCTAGGTCAAAGGTCAAGGTCAAAAACTTTGTTTCAGCTGAGAACCCCTTGTCCTATGGTAAAGATCGTGTCCGCTCTATATCTTGAGAACCGTTATGATTTCAAAGTTTATACTTGATATGTATATAAACCAACACCAGAGGGTGTGTCATAATTTATGTACAACTTCCTAGGTCAAAGGTCAAGGTCAAAAACTTTGTTTTCAGTTGACAACCCTATGTCCTATGGTAAAGATACAAATTTTTTAATGCACATTATTCACAGCGAGGCCCACAGAGATGGCTCCCATCTCAATGATATCTAGTTGTGTTTGTGAGTGGCCGTGGATAAAGGCATGTTTTATGGTCTGGGTTAAAAAAAAGTATTAACTTCGGGTACATATCCCTGCCCCACCACAGAGAATCAAATGGTTGCTTCCTTGGGAACAACAGAGATTGAAGATGTTGAGAATGAATATCAGATAATATTTTTTTGTTCTGCGGCGACGTTATAGGAACACCAATCAGTCAATCGATCTTTATGACTATGGCTTCATTTGTGTAATATTTCTTGTTGTAAAAGTGCATTTTCTGCTTTGTGTAGACTTAGTAAGCCTTGGAATAGATCTACGAAGACTAATGAACGGTCATGTGTGGTTTTGCAATTTTATATGCCTACCGATGTCTAGATATGGTACGTTGCTACCGGACATAGAAAAAACTGTCCCTTTTTCATGGAAAATTAAACTGTTACAGTATATTAAAGAATAAAAAACTGGCTCTCTTTTCTGTAAATACAAATAAATAGCTGACATGGGTTAAACTAAAGCTAGAAATCCCAATCTCCCGACATTAATTCATTTAAAAAGACCATATATAGATATAAGAGATGTGGTATGAGTGCCAACGAGACAACTCTCCATCCAAGTCACAATTTGTAAAAGAAAAACCATTAAAGGTCAAAGTACGGTCTTCAACACGGAGCCTTGGCTTACACCGAACAGCAAACTACAAAGGGCCCCAAAATGACTAGAGTAAAACCAACGGTCTAATCTATATACTAAACGAGAAACGAAAACACTTATGAACCACATCAACAAACGACAACTACTGAAGATCAGGTTCCCGACTTAGGACAGGTGCAAACAAATGCAGCGGGTTTAAACGTTTTAATAGGTACCAAATTCACCCTTACCCGAAACAACAGTGTAACATATGACCTTAAAATTTAACATTGAAGGGCTAAACTTGCATTGAGCCTTGTTTAGGCCCTAAAATAGAAAATAAAGAGATGTGGAGTAAATGTGCATGGGACAACATCGCACACAATACATAGAAAAAATGAAAATTATCAATGAACAGGGCTTTTATTCCTGTTCTTCATCTTGAAAGTAGCCGGAGGGTCTTCAACGAGGCAACGAACCATTCATACCCTAAAAACAGCAGACACACAACTGACTATGTAGATTACAATGTTTTGCATTATCCTACATATGTCTTTTTATGTTGTCCCTAAATACTAAAAGTCTTACACTGAATCTATATATTTTGATATATTGTCGAAAAAATAAATAAAGCAAAACGTTTTAGATTAAGAAAGGGTCCGAAAGAAACGTTCAGAATGCACGATTTTGCGTCATTTTTTCCAGATCTTTTGGGGGCCTTGAGCCTTAGACCCCTCGACCAAAATATATTTTGCTTCATTTGTAATAGAGGCTTGTTACGGCCCTGTCTTATCATCTTAGATCAACCTTTCTAAACTTAAAAGTAAAGATCCCGCACCCTTATTGTTCAGATTGATAAAGACTTTTGCATCCGTCGACATTAACTTCGATTTAAATACTATAGATCTGATAACCGCTGTGCATGTATACTTCCTTTAACGACTGGGCTAGTTTTCTTATCTGTTTTGAAAGTAGTAACCTCCCTTGTTAATGTGATGTTGTAATCAATCTATCTACTTGTACCATCTTTTATAATTATATAATATTATATTGTACAATTTAAATATATGATTCGTTTAATATTTAGATATAATATTTTTTTTAGTAAAGATATAAACAAGGTAATTTGAAAGGCGTTGATTCATTTATCACCGTAGTTCTATTCATAAGTCAGGCGGTCTATTTTGTCTACATTATGTTGAAAGAACACCGAGGGTGTTTACATTGGCATTATTTACTACCAATGACTGTGAAACAAGAAAGGTAAACATTGTACAATATAAAACGAGAATAATTAAAATTACATTCAAAATTCATTTTTTAAATTAGTGAAATCAAAAACGAAAAACGGAAACACTTCTGATTTTCATTTTGGTTTTAAAAAATCTAAAACAAAAAATGAAAACACTTTCGTTTTCCGTTTTGGTTTTAGAGAAATCAAAAACGAAAAACGAAAACACTCTCGTTTTTTGTTTTTTGTCTTTGATATTTCAAAATGAAAAACAAATGGACGCAAATATACACGGACCCATTCGTAAAATAACCGTCAATAGAAATGCTCGAGACCATGAGTTTGTGATTTAGTACAATTATTACTGTGGAAAGATGTGTGCTGCTTTTCTAAATATATGGCATCTCTTTTTGTCAATCTCAATTTTATTTGTATTAGTTCAGGGGACCATTATGAAGCATTGAGTGCTCAAGATAAACCAAACTTGTATGAGGAATTAGAAAATGAGAAAGGTAGTTTATTATTTGTAAGATACAAAAACAAATAATGTTAGATGTTTAAATTTGAAACCATATTCCTTTTATTTATTCAGAATCTCTCTTATTACAAACTGAACTTCTTTCATATTCAAATTGATAACTTAAATGTCTTTACAGCGCGAGATCAGATAATGACAGTTGTTTTTATTGTTTAATTATATATAAATTAAATGTGAGCATTTATTAAAATAAGATAATATTTCTGTTATAAAAAGGGTCGAATGGTAAATTGAACTTGAAGAAAGGCCTCCTAAATCAAAATTGAAGTTTGATTGATATAATTACATGCATTGGTTTAGCATGTTTCATGTAGGAAAACGAAGACATTCAAATACAAATTTGGTAAAGTTAATAATACTTTTCGGTTGCATTGTTTCTAATGCCAAACATTATTAACAATGAAAATGCAGTCAAATTCCGTTTTGCTTTGAAGGATACATAAAAACACATATTTTCAGTTAAAGTTAAAGTTAAATCCTATACAAAGTGCCATAGTGCCTGCAATTGAAGGTACTCATCTCGCAACTTTGAACGTGGCCCACAAACACACAATATTAATACTGGTACAAAAGTACTCGCAGCTGTTTAAAGCTATTTAAAATCTAATTTCAACCAATAAATAAACCAAATTTTACACTCGTCTGACAGTCCAAATTTAAATACATGGCAGAACTCACCTAATTGATTTATCATTTCATTTGAAAATCTGTATCATATGAGAACAGATCGGTAAAGACTTGCCTTATTTACTTCATACTGAATAATAATCAACTAAATTTTACTTAATTTATTGGAAAACTGTTTAGAAATAAACAAATAAGTATATAAGGCAGAAAGTTGATTTTTAAATGTTGAAATCAATATGAATATAGTACCAATAAATATACTTAACTGCAATAATTAACACAACATATCAGAAAATACAAATTGAACACATCCTCTCCAGCGATATGGTACTATGTAGCATATATTTATTGTTGGACTTTATAAAGTCTTCAATGATAAAAAAAAAAACACATTTAGTTAATACTCATGATCAATGAATTATTCGATATCTTTCAGGACAAACGGAAAAAGTTTATGTCAATGAAGCATTCTGAACTAAATGTCACAACATGATTTTGTATTGAAAACTATGTAATTTCAATGTTTTAATCAAAATTCAAAATGGCTTGATGCTTGTTGGTGGATGATGTGGCCTGTTGAACAGTGTGGTACATTTGGCGATACCTATTATCCAATGTTATGTACTATTATTACTAGATATTATATCTAATCATTTTAAGCGTGTTGATTGAAACTGAAGAATATAAGGAAATGGAAATAGTGAAATACTTTCCATGCACATTATCATGAAATTATCATATATTTATTTTTGGAGATATATTCTATTTAAAGGTATATTTTTGTTATTTGATTAATATATAAATAAACAATTACATACATATTTTCTTAAAATATTTGATATATTTCCATCATTTAAAATAACGAAAAGTTAAAGCGGTGAAAACGACAATTAGATAGGAACCAAAATAACAACAATTCCGGTTGAAAAGGAGTAAAGAAAGTTAATTAGATCTAAAAATTTCAAGGATGTTCATTTTACACATGTTTTATACAAACGCCCTCATCAAGCAACAGTCAACAAATTGATCGAGTCAAGACAATTTATGAATGAATTAAACAAAGACGATCACATACTAACACAAACACTTGTATTTTATTAGACAAACACGTTTGAATCCTTTGAGCGACCGCTGTATTTTTCATTTTTTTGACAAAGCGACACCATGCAAATGCTAATGGACAGGAATTGCATTACGAACAGGAGAGCATGTAAGACTAGCGCTGAAACTTTTCCTTGCATCAGGTATACTTTTTGGCTGTTGAAAATGCCACATAGTTCTTGTGGTATTGTGCTTGTCTTGAATGCGTGGAAGTCGTAAGTTTGATCCACTGTCGGGACAAATCAAAGACTTACAAATTATTATTCGCTGCATCTACCCTAATCATGTTGCATTTAGAAGTAAGAGCAATGACTGATCGGTTCGGAGTCAAAGTAATATGTCCTGATATTGGTTGTCGCGGTTGTTGCTCGTTGTTATTGTTCTTTTAATGTTGTAATATAAACTACACTGTGTTGGGTTTTTTTTTTTTCTTTTTTCATTCCGGAGCATTTCATAGTTTATTTTACAGTACGAGTTTTAATATTTTGTGTAGCCCTACGGTGACCTGTAATTGTAATAAAGCGGTTGATCGTTATTTATTTTGGTTTGGTCTTTTAGCGATAAATGTTTCAAAGGAAATAATTCCAAATCTTCTTAAGGTAATATACATGTATATTTTTCCTTAAAAATATACAATCGTTTTTCGTATTACAACTACGATAATCAGCATCATAAATAGTCTTCTCATTTCTCATTTGAATGCTGACGTCATATATGTACATGTCCAATATAAAAATAAGGAAATAAGGTTTGATTGCCAATGGGACGACTATCCACCAAAGTTCAAATAGAGTGGATGTAAGCCATTATAGGCAATCGTACGGCCTTCAACAAAGAAATAAACCAATACCGTATAGTCGACTATAAAAGGCCCCAACATGAAAAATATGAAACAATTCAATTGAGAAAACTTACGGTCTAATTTATAACAAAACAATTAACGAAAAACAAATATGACACATGAACCAACGACAACCACTGAACTACAGGCTCTTGACTTGGGACAGGCACATAAAGAATGTGGTGGGGTTGAACATGTTTGTGAGCGCCCAACCCTCCCCTAACCTGGGACAGTGGTTTAACAGAACAACATAAGAACTAACTATAAATTCAGTTGAAAAAGGCTTAACTCATCAGATCGATACAAAGCAGAAAAACATCAAACATAAACACAGAGCGGACGTGGCAGGGTATTTATCCATGCCTCATCCCTAACAACAATAATGACACTAAGTACAGATCTGAGAGTACTCGCAGTTACTGACAGCTAGTTCAAAGCCAATAACATGAATAACAACTAATTAAAAAAAAACATGTATCCAAGACTAATCAAGATATTGATACCGTTGATATCGAAAATATCGACACAGTATCGATGATAAACTTTACACCCATGACATATCCATGACAAACCAGGGGTCAAAATCATTGATATCGACAATGTCGAATCGATATCAATGATGACTAAAGATCATGCATAACAAATCAAGCTTTTCAAGTTTAGACCGAAGATAAAACTGTAATTAGATGAGATGGTTACTGAATTGTTTTCCATCATATGTATACAAGTTCATCATGTAGTCGATCAAGTAACACACCGTTCACATTGACAAAAACATTGTTTTAAGTTAACTATTACTTTTGAAAAACAAATTTCATTTGGTTGTATATAGTTGAAATGGTTAATAGGACTTGTGACAGCTAGGAAGACAGGTCAAATTTGAACTCTGGTGAAAGTTCTCTCATTGGCAGTCATACCACATCTCTTTATTTTTATACACCATACTAAAACATTAAAAATAATTAAATATGAATTGCTTAAATTCGTTGGAGTTTTCTTTTTATAATTTTATACTTGAAAAAAAGGGTTTATTTATTGGTTGAAATTAGATTTTAAATAGCTTTTAATAGCTGCGAGTACTTTTATACAAGCACTGTATGATTGTGTCTGCTTGTTCTTTTTGTTGTTGTCGAGCACACTTCAATTAATTTTTGCATTGTTTATTTATATTTTCCCACTGTCCCAGATTAGGACAACACTTTAGCCCTCACACACATGTCAAGCCCAGCCATTTTCTTTTTATGAATGTCCTAGGTCATATGCTTTTTAATAAAGTGGTTGTCGTTGGTAGGAGTTTGTCATTACGTTTTTGTTTTTGTTTTATTATGTTTTCACGAATAAGTACTTTCAATGTTTTTTTCTCCATTTGAATTATTTGACATTTTGGTATGCCGGTATCAGGGTTGCTCATTGTTGAAGGCTATAAGGTGACATAAAGAAGTTTACATTCTCTTTGAATTATTTGACATTTTGGTATGCCGGTATCAGGGTTGCTCATTGTTGAAGGCTATAAGGTGACATAAAGAAGTTTACATTCTCGTTCATTTAATGTCTGATGGATAGTTGTCTAAATTGAAATCATACAATTTCTTCTTAAAAATTACATGTTTTTACTTTAAATAGACATACTACATGTATATGTGTCCTCAAATAAAAACGAGAGTCTCTAAGTTATAGTGAACTAAAATCCTAGATAAACAAAGAGAGACTAAAGGTTAAAAAAAACTACATGTATTGCCTCTCCCTGCTATATGATTATTTAAAATATTCAATATTCTGATAAATTTTTTTTCATTAATCAAGTTTAAGTGTTGACGATTCATTACAAAAACACTAGCAATTAATGTCCCCATTTATCAAAGTCTGAAGATCCGAAACCTCTGAAAAAGAAAAGAGAAAAATGGTTATCATCATTGTAGCATACAACCTATAAACAACTATTTCACATATCACGTAAGGCATTTATTTGTATTGCGATCATTTTAAGCAATTTGAGGTGGGCTCGATGGCCGAGTGGTTTAAGTAGTCGAACTTCTGTATCACTATCCAGCACGTGACAGGTGCGCTCGACTCCAATCTCGATCGACTAGGATTGTCAGTTTTCCTACCGAAGGTCGGTGGTTCTCTCCGGGCAGTCCGGCTTTCTTCCCCAATAAAAAGTGACCGTCACGAAATAACACAATAGTGCTGAAAGTGGCGTTAAACACCTATCAGTCAATCAATCAAATTAAGCAATTTGAAACAGCTTCAGGCAGTTATAGACTTCAGCTTTCGTGTCTTTGTAACATATCGTCATATTAAAACTACCCTTGTCTGTACTAAGTCTGGAATATGACAGTTGTTTTTACTTGTTCCGCTGGTTGATAACGTTTGATTTTGTCAGTTTTTATGGACTTCTCAATTTTTGAAGTTACCTTGGACTTCGGTATTTTTGTTATACTTTAACAGCATTTTATTTCTGTATGATATCTAATAGAAAAGAAATTGTAAAAGCAAAATCCTTCAGAAATAAAGATAAACGCGACACGTCCAAATATTAACTTTTAAATTATAAATACAAGTGGTATGGGATTTACATATTGAATGTCAATCAACAATGAAACTAACAAATAATGCACTACAAACTGGAAAATGAAAAACAAAAATAATTGTCGCGCGTCTTCGCTAGCCTGGATTTACTTTCAACAGTAACGCTCAAGCTCTGGAGATGAGGAATATTGCAAACTGATTTTCAGACTGATAATTTGAAGACAAACTGACAACCCCATGGCAAAATACGAAAAACAACGACAAGACAAAGAACAGTCTACAATAGTCAAGATAGAATCTAAAAACTGACCAACACGAACCCAAAACCGAGGGTGATCTCAGGTGCGCCGGTAACATACCCTGTGCCCATAGTATCTCGTTTATACATTATTAATTAATACGTAAATCTCGATCGTGTTCATATCATTCGCAGGATGTGCTTCTGACACTAAATCATGTTTATATTTTAGAGTAGTCTTTTGTTTATGTTGGTCGGTTGGTTGATGTCTCGTTTACATATACACTACACCTCCTTTTATCCGAAAAAAAGTCATTTCTTAAGTTATTATCTTTTATCATATTCATAGTGTATTGGGTGGTTTGTTGTTTTTGTGATAATTTTAATCATATCAGTTACATACCATTATTTTTCAATTTTTCTTTTTGCCATTTGTTGTTTCCTTTTAAATTGCACTTAAAAACCTTGCATTTCTTCTTTTTGCGAATTGTAAAATAGCTTCCATCTCCAACGCAGTAATCAAGTTTTTTGTTCTCCACATTATCGATCTTTAACAGTTCACCACCTTTTATACTACAGCCTAAATTTTTAAAACATACTATTATATATTTAAATCATATGAAACAAAATATATTCTAAACTTAGATCTCGATGGACGTATTCTACATTTTATTACTATAAATTTGTAAGATATAGTCGACAAAAATATTTCGTTCGGTGATTATTGTTCGAAAACTTTGAGTACAAATGAGCTATCGTGGTTTTGCTGTCGACGTTTTCCGATCGTGACTTTTATAAATAATTAAACAATCAACGCAGAATCATGGAGCACACAAAAAACAAGTGAGATGATAGAACGATATTTATTTGTTTTGTTATATTTGTTTATGCGTTCACATTTGGTAACTAAATATTGTCATTACAGTTTTCAGTGTGGTTTATTATCAATTTTACTTTCAGAATCGGTTAATACTATCTTCTTTCAATGTCTTTTTACTTTTTCTTTCGTCACATGTTTTTCCTTCGCTTTTGCGCTTTGACATTGCCGAATTTTAACGAGAATGTCGTGGTTATAGGTCATTGTATACAAAAAGCTGGCTGTGAATTCGAATATGGAAAGACAATAAAGCAATGACTATATTTCTACAAATTGGATAAATAAGGCATTTTCTTTCATAAAGTCTATGTACTATTTGTGTTATGTATTAAAACATAGCCTTCAAGTATATAAAAAAATCATCTTTTGTGTTTATTTGCAGGATCATATGATTGTAAAACTTCTGTTCTAAAGAACACACAAAGTGAAAAAAGAAAGAAAATGATTTTAAATAAATGATAATTAAGCCCTGTCTTAAACTATTACACTACCCGGCGGAATTATATTTTACGTTTGCAATTAAAAAATATAAATCAGTCATATCTCTTTATTATATAGTATATTGCTCAAGTGAACAGAATAAATCAAACTAATGTGAACGAACATAAAACAGTATGTATAATTAACATTTTATAAATTATGTTTAACCTATTTTTCCTTTTTTCTTCATCTGTGAAGTGTCCTTCCCATTTTTCTTAAAGATTTCACATTGATATTGCATACATGATTTAACCAGCCTAATTTCTCCTTCTGGTACACATTCATCACCTTTCCAACGACATTCTACCATATAAAATAAACAAAAATCAATTAAGCTGATTAAAATCTTAAATTGTTTTTGTTATTTGTGCCTTAATTACAGTTGTCTGTTAAATATTCTAAAATTCAAAAAGATGATTGCTACGAGTCTGTATGATATGTGACCCTGTGAATCACATGGAACCCAGTAGTAGAATTAATACCATAAACAAGCATCAGAGAAATATTTCGGAAACTATGTTCAGAGGTAAACCAAGCGTAAACCAGGCATACTTATGTGTAATATATAAATGAGTGTGTATGGTCAACTGCAAACAAAGTGTTAAGAAGATAGTCAACTTATTCCAGCAAGTTTATTAATTTTGTATTAAGTGAACAGGTTGATATAATCTGGAGTTTATAGTACAGCAAGCCAGGGCTCTTGTGATATCACTACATGTTTGATGTTATAAACATGTCAAAATTGACATAGCAGACTTTAAATGTCAATGTTGCACTAACTAAATGTTTGAAATATAATAGGCATGAGCTATTAACTAACCATAAAAGAAGATTTAACTTGCATAAACATCCTAGTACTTGTACTTACCATGATCAACATGACGGGTGACCCTAGTGGAGCATGATCTGCTTACTCTTCAGGAGCACATGAGATCATTACAGTTTTTGATGGTTTTGTGTTGCTCAGTCTTTAGTGTCTTTGGGTGTATGGTGGGTTTGTTTGTTTCTTATCGTCGTCCCCTTTCTTGTTTAGTCATGGCGTTTTTAGTTTCTGTACGACTTCAAAGTTTTTAATGTTTTCTTGGTATCTTCCCCGTCTTTTTTGAAAACTAACTTTTGTAGGAAAAATATTTTTTGAAAAAACTTGGCTCATATCTTAATTTAAACATTAATATGTATCTAGAAAATTAAAATAGAAAACAAACAAAAAACACACTTCACATCAAAATCATACAGTTCGATGAACTAAACCGAAGACAATTATATGAAGGTATATTTACGCAAACTCGACTCAAATTTCCAGCTGTTGGTATCTTTATCCACTTTACATGTTTTGATGGCACATCCTTCCTTTGTTTTCCAACCATCGTCAACACATTCGTCTTTTCCGTCCTTTTGATAATTACACTCTAGAAACGGGTTTTAACAGGAATTATTATATTGTAATATGATGAATTTGACACATAAAACATGAAAGCGACAATGGTGAAATATATCCGTTAAACTGAAGAGCAATGACTTTATATAAAATGAAAATTTCAGGCAGAGAAAAAAGCAGTAATGCACATTTTATATGTATTTGTAAAGTTACAGAGCTTATCTGGACTAGCAACTATATATTTGGGATGCCCAGATTTGATGTTTACATACTACGAAATTTCGTTGACATTTTTACAGTTATTCACAAATTTTACTTGTGAATGAAAGAAATTAAATAATTGTCTAATATCAGAAAATGAAGTGTCTTTGAAAAAAGCAGAAATATTAAGGCCAACCTTATTTTGACGTAAATTGCAAAATGCATTAATTTGATGCCTTCAATATAAGATTTGAAATTTTAGTCTTTTATGCAGTTGTTAAGGCAAAATCATACAAGTTTAACTTGTTTTAATAACGTGCTTACTCAGAAATGTGGGGACACGGGTTGTAAATAGAGTATTTGACGTTAAATGTTCGGGAATCGGATGGTTGTTAACTTCTGTGTCATTTGGTCTCTTGTGGAGAGTTGTCTCATTGGCAATCATACCACATCTTCTTTTTTATATTAGCTACGCCGCCTGTCCCAAGTCAGGAGCCTCTGGCCTTTGTTAGTCTTGTATCATTTTTAATTTTAGTTTCTTGTATATAATTTGGAGTTTAGTATGACGTCCATTATCACTGAACTAGTATACATATTTGTTTAGGGGCCAGCTGAAGGACGCCTCCGGGTGCGGGAGTTTCTCGCTGCATTGAAGACCCATTGGTGGCCTTCGGCTGTTGTCTGCTCTATGGTCGGGTTGTTGTCTCTTTGACACATTCCCCATTTCCATTCTCAATTTTAAATATAATTTTGTAGGATATATGCATTAGGGACTTTATACATAGTTCTGATGTGACATTTAGATGTTTGTAAAATATCTTTTATAATTTTAGTCCGTAAGAAAATCTAATTTTACACAGCAATTAGAGTTATAAAAACATTGACTCACAAGAAAAAACATGTTTATGTGAAAATATTATGAAGCCTCCTATATACGAGACACATGATTTGTCGTATTTTCAACGTAACAATGAAAAGACAGAACACGGCTATTTAACGATATCACTCGGCAAAAGACAAACATCATCATTGCTCTAAAAAAACAGCATAAAAAAAGCAATCATTCACATACCACCCCCAAACAGAAGGTTAATCTTAAGCAAAGCAAACAAAACAGAATGTCAAAGGTGTATTTAGATACATAAGATTTTTCCTGCTAAACTAAAGACATTAGTTGTGTTCCGCGTAACTAAATATCAATTGATAAGTCGCATTTTGTAAAAGTCATCGATATGAACAGAAAAACAGAATTGTGACTAACACAAATGGATTATTTCCATAGATCTGTCTGACGCAGCTATTCCACATCAAATTGATGTTCGTAAAAGTTTCGAAGTTATAACTTTATTTATTTTAACGAAATTAAATAGACGATTCGCAATCTTGACAATTATTTATCGGAAAACAGTTATTGTCACAGATTCATTCTTTGACTCATCATTTGTTTTTGCTTAGAATTATTACTTTCAAGATCGTTTGTATAAACCATTAAAACTTTGTTTTAACATATATTCATCGAAATCATCACATTTCTTGTAAACTTCACATGTTGGTTGTGGGGTTATGATCATTCAAAGATATAATAGATACGACTAAAAAATCTTACTGATGTCTGTTAATGCAACTGAATATTTCGTTTGACCGACAGGCATACAGCTCTCACTCTGATCTTGACACCCTGAAATAAGTGTGAAACAAATATTTTTACTGTGTTATCAATTTCGGAAAAGTAAGTGTGTTTATCCTCTTTCAGTATGTGTAGACTCATTTTGTATATGTAATTCCTCACCAATATAGTTATCACAAGTGGTTGCCTCATATTTAGTTTTGTACGAAGTGCTCTTTGGACTGGTGTTTGATCTGTTGTCGTTAAGTATTGTCTATCTTATTGCAACTTCTGTTTTCGGATGAACATTTTATATGTCTATCCCCTTTTTATTTGAAATATTACGTTTCTGTAAGATTTTTCTATGAAATATTATACATGTTATATTTCATTAGGAATTTTGAAAAAAGATGATTTACAACTGAAGCCTGTTTTGTGTAAAAACGTTATTAACAGGTATGCATGCAGTGAAACACGCATGGGTATATGTGTTAAAATTTTACTGATATTTCTTCTTGAATTTTAGATAAAATTAAAGCCATCAATTAAAAAGTGTCAAAAACCCAATCTTGAAATGGTGACCATTACAGAGTATGGATGTTACAGATGAGAACAAATATGCTCAACTCATCGTTCAAACAATCTCCATCCTCTCATCTTCGACTGTGAAAAACGAATGCTAATTCATTTGTAATTGTCAACGTATTTCTGTTTGCGACGAGTTAAACGTAGAATTGTACTTTGGAGCAAAAAAGATGCCTAACTTTTTAGAGGACTTTCGTTCAAGCAATTTTTTCAGGAAGAGACTATGTTGATCAATTTTTTTTTTTTAAATTCTAAAGTATTAATTTTGTTCTTATTGGCCATGATGTTTCTATTTGGTCTATGATTTGATTTGCCCCTTTATATCTCATCGCTCTTTCTACCACAAATTGTGTTTTGCACGAATAAGTGCATGTATTTGGTGTCTGATCAGTCTGTACAATAACATTTAACAGTATATCTACCCTGTAATTTTCTATTACACGGAGTTTTGTATTGAAAATATTGGTTTTGAAATATGGTTCGTTTGTGCCAACAAAAATCATATTAAACCAATTGTTTATGCAATATGTGTCTAGTCTTTCAAATTTGACAAAACATTTCAGTAGATTGCAGTGCTTTTTAATATAACGGAGAGGTTCTTACCTTCTGGTAATGTCATACTGTGGTTTTGGTTACACGTCATTGTAATGCAGTTTTCTTTCCATATTTCACCGACCTTCCTGTCTATACCGTTATGTTTACATCCTCCTGAAACATTTCAATGAACTATAAAAAGAAATTTTTCAAACCTTATGTTTTTAATATCTCCAAGAAAAAATATGACACTATAAACAAAATCTTAAGAACCCTTATGTTTACATTCTCCTAAAACTAATCAATGAAACTATAAGACAATCTTTGGCGAATGATTTCGTCCTCCGAGTTGCATTTTTAGTCTAATTGGCTTCTTAATCTTTCGGTCTGTGTTTTGCATGCAAAGTATTGTCCCTGGACAAGTAACATGTGCGCTAGCATGCTATCATTTATTTATTGTAACATAATATATGTTAACGTAAAGGAATGTCCATCCGTGATCAATCATGTGAATAATACGTAACGGATCCCAATGTCACTTTATATGTATATGTATTAAACGATTCTGAAAATACTGTTTGAAAAAATGATTGATACACCTTTTTGGTCAATAATATGGCAAATAATGATAGCAAGAAGAGCATGTAATTGTCAATTTCACATCAATTCCCTTTTAACTTACCTGTTGTCGATGGAGAAGACACTTTCACTCCAGAAATTTTAGAATGTGTTTCATTTATAGAACATGTGTACCTATAGTCACCCTCTGTCCAAGTCTCTCCTTCAGCGTAACATGTATCCCCGTTTTGGCATTCTAAAATATATCAATTACATCAATAGCATTGTGTATGAGAGAACAGTACAACCTATTCAAAAGAGAAAGTTGAAGATACCCGGGGGTGGGGTTGGGTGGATTTTGAAATATTCAACAACTTTATCGGTATCCATACGGATTAAACTATGAATGAAATGAACTCAAATTATTCATAAAAATGCAACGCACCAATGGATCATATTTATTCCATTTGTAGCTCTAAAATATAACTCAGGGTCAGAAAGGTAAAATCTGAAATCCGGACTTTTCTTTGGTTACACATCATTGTAACAATAATAGTAAAACAGTATCATCAAAAGTTTTACACGTTATTAGCTATATAAAATCGAATTGAAGATGTTTATCAAATTTACATCTGGATTAGGGCTTATATAAGCAAGATTGGTAAGATTATTTGAAAGAATTTATGCATGAATGTTTCATTAATTATCTTTAAGGCAGGCTATGTTACGAACTGTTATAGTTATATTTTTTTGTATTATTTTTATTTTTATTATCATAGTTAAAATTTATCAAAATTATTATTATTTTTATTTGTTGCTGGTGTTTCTTTGTCACAGCATGCATGTGTAGGTTATCATTAATAAAACACACCTTTTAGGATGGAAAAACACACGAAGCAGTAGAAAAGAACATGCTCGAATTTGTTATTAACACTTAATGTTTGTTTTGCTCTAAAGTAAGCTATAAAAGGCCACGGTAAGACAAATTGTAATTAAGAAAATAACATCATCCGACTTGCGCAAAATATTATACGAAAAATCAGTATGACAGTAACCAGCCAATGACAAACATTGAACCACTAGATCCTGACTTTAGACAGTCACATACAGAAGGTGGTGGGGTAAACAAGTATGTGAGCTCTCAACCCTCCCTGAAATCAAGTTGACTCAATATTGTTCAATACTCAAGTTATGTTGTTTGGACTTGTAGTAGGAAATTAGATTGTTGATTGTTTAACGTCCAGTGTCAAATATTTCATGCATGTTCAGGACGATGGAAATTAGACAAGAAGAAACATTGCAATGCTATTGTGAGCTTGTTACTCAATAATATACTCCAGCGAAGTTTTATTCCTAAAACACGGGTATAAGGTGTTAAAAATGCTTAGAAAAATGTTTTTGATCTGCTGTGCCTAAATTCCAACACATTAAAATATCGTAAAATTTTCCATTTCAAATATTTTCTATCAATTATTTTTGTAAAGATATTCGGTAAAATACTATAATTGGTCACACGTATGCATTCAAGGTCAGCAATTTTTTGAGAGAGTTAATTAACTTTTTTATAGATCTTCGCCTGTTGCTTCTGATAATTATTACAGTTTTCAAGAAAACAAAATCAAAGTTCTTAATCTATTCAACTCACTCTCGTATTTTCTATTGGCAGTCAAAACTTTCCTCCTTCATCTCTGTCGACAACCTTTGCAGAACCTACCTTATGGATTTCTTGTTTATTGGTTCCCGTTCCGAATATGCATGAAAATTTGCCACAGGACGTTTAAAATACAACAATCAACCGATAAAATTTATAAGTCGAAAAAGGAAAACAAAATATGGTAAAAAAGAGGAAGTCGAACATATTTTGTAATATGTATCTAGGAAGAGAATGAACTAAACAAGTTTACAAAACTATTCATTACCTTTTATTGTTTTAGTTGTTTTAAACCCAGACTTTCACGTTAAATAACATTTACAATTTCTAATAAAATCTTTTTCACAATCAGTTGTTAAATGTAGACTATAAAAGTAAGTTTAATTTCATATTTTGTCATTCTACTATTTTTCATCGAAAAATTTTGATCTGCCTCCGTATTTTATCTTTTTCATAATGTACTGCATGCCAATACGAAATTAATTCAAATGACATACAAAACCGTATATTTTATATATATTTACTCTGTTCCAACACGTCCATGGTTCCTTTATCACATGTATATTTTGTACACTCCTCTGTCCATGTTTGACCAGATGGCTTACATTGACCATTGATATTGCAACCTTTGAATATAAATATAAAGATTTTTATAATGAATGATTTTTAAATCATGCTGATTTATTTGACGTGTTACAAGCTTTTTGAATCTACCAAGCTTATTCTTTATATTTCAGAACGCAGAATTTAAGATTGGTCCTTCAGGTAGTTTATTATTTATCTGCATTCGGTATGGATTTTTTTCATTGTTGAAGGCCGTACGGTTACCTATAATTGCTTACATCCACTTTACTTGAACTTTGGTGGATAGTTGTCTCATTGGCAATCATACCACATCTCCTTAATATATAGATAGTTTTATATAAATAGCCCGTGTACGCTTAGCAAAGTTGCCCGAAATCTACGCTGGGTAGACGTTATTTTTCTCATCGAAGACTATTTTTTTTCTCGAAGAAATGCACAATGGATCAATACTTCGCATTTATTACGATTAATTTCATGAATTATTTTTCGCGGATCCGAATAGTCGTCTGATTGATCTATGAATGTACCAATTTGTATCGCTTCACGTGAGACTTGTCTTTGTGGTTTTAACCACTGTCACATTCTGCATGTACCTGTCCCAAGTCAGGAGCCTGTAATTCAGTGGTTGTCGTTTGTTGCTGTATATCGTATTTGTATTTGGTTCATTACATAATCAGGCTGTTAGTTTTCAAGTTTGGATTGTTTTACATTTGTCATTTCGGAGCCTTTTATAGCTGACTATGCGGTATGTATTTTGCTCATTGTTGAAGGCTGTACGGTGACCTATAGCTGTTAACTTCTATGTCATTTGGTTTCTGCTGGAGAGTTTATTGACAATTATACCAAATCTTCTTATTTTTATATTTAGATCTCAAGATCCAGACACCCGAAAAGCCGTCTAATCTGTAACATTCTTTTTGATTGTACCCTATCGATCTATGTTGAAATGTTTGGTAGAGTATGGATTCCCATGACATGATATAGGAGGAGACGATTTCTCTATCGACGGACAAGGTTTCACTTCGTCTAGTGTTTATGAATTTGAAATTGTAAACATCGTTAAATGCCTTCGACATTTCATTTCTTTGTGAACTATTCGATACTAAATCATACGAGTTTGTCAACATACAGTATGCACATTTTCAATTATATAGTACGAATACCATGATCAACAGTACTGTAAAATAGAGTTGTCTTTCCTGGATTATAGGTGTTATGTATATTCCTATAAATTCAATAAGTAGACCTGGATATGCATTTACCTGCATCTAAAAGTTCTGCCGTGTGGTTACCATCGACTTTTAAGCACTTATACTTGAAACAATCAACTTCAAATTCTTTTCCAACCTCATAACAGGTTCCGTTGATTTGACATTCTTTAAAAGACAAAGACCTTGTCAAATTACATAAAAACAAACTAGCGCAATTGTCATAAACTAATGATTCAGAGCATGACATGTTGGAAATGTGATAAAGGCACGAAACTTCTAACAGTGTCAAAATCTATAAGATAAATGTTTAATCTTTTTACCATTTTTGAATAATAATAGACTACAAAAGACTATGTTTCTTGTTTCACATGGTCACAATTTCGCTATTTTTGGCACTTTCAAATTTCTTGTAGCTATACATTATGTACAAAGAAACTTGCATGAGGTTTTGGTTCACTGACATAGTATCTATAATGTTATCAAGTTTGTGAAAATGGTTCCATCATTAGACTTTTGTCGTTTATGCTACGACATTTTGCCTTGTTATTGAATGAATCTTCATCAGTTCATTTCTTTATTTCACATTTTCTCTGACTAAATATATTGCTTGCTGTTTACCATTGAATATTCCTAAAATCGTATAGTGCATGCACTATAGCTTTTATTTGGCATTACGCTTTCAACGCTAAACATGAGCTTAGACCATACAGTACTGTGCATTGACACAGAAAGAGAAAAACTGTGAAAACTTGTATTGTCTGAGCTGTTTCTTATTCGGATAGTATATCAGTAATACCGGTTATTGATTGTTGAATTGAGACTGATAAAATTAGTTCTTTTCTAATATTATTTGAAAAATAAGGTGTTTTAGTATAATTGCCAACAAGAACAACTATCAGACAGTGAATGTGAGCAACTAGAGGTCACCGTAAGTCCTTCAACAATGAACAAAACTCATACCGCGAAGGAAGCTGTAAAAAATTTCGACAAAGCAAAATATAAAACAATTTAACTATTAAAAAACCGGCCTGATTATTTTAAACCAATAAACGAAAAACAAATTTTGCAGACAGCCACCAACGACAACTACTGACTTACAGGCTCCTGGTTTTGGACATGCATATACAAAATATGGCAGGGATAAACATGTTTGTGACAGCTACGCCCTCTCCTAACATGAGACAGCGGTGTTACAGCACAACATTAAAACAAACTTTAACGTTTGTCGAAAAAGGCTGGATTTGTAATGAAAATACAAGTACGGTAAGTACTGACAATATGATTTTGGATTATCAATCTTTTTTTTCAAGTGCAGAAAAGATCATTAAGTTTTGGATATACCCTTGCATCATTATATATTTTAAACATTATAGAAAGTAGAGATATATTATATAAAAAAAAAACAGAATAATATGCAAGTGGTTATTTCGCATGAAGCCATCAACTTGTGTATGATTTGGGGGAAAGGCCGACTTACTTTCGTCAACTAATTTTAATCCATATGTATTGTTTGTCTCCGTGCATTCATAAGTGAGACACTCCGACTTGCTGCTCTTAAACGGTTGACCAATATCTATACAATTTCCATTGTAGAGGCAACCTGAAATACAAATGGTAAACAAATAACCTGAAAACATGGACTTCTTTCTTAATATTTTATTTTCGCTCAGTTCAGTTATTTACATTGGAGTGGGAATGCTCGCCATGGGGGCTTAACTTCAATAATGTCACGTATTTCACGTTAACGATCGCGAATAATTCGCGAAAATATTATTCTCGAACTAAGTTGATTTTTAAGACAAACCAGCATTAGGCGAAGAAAAACATTAAAAAAAACAAGTTTGAAACTAAAAATCGCAAAGATAAACCACTTTAAGTTTGTGGACTTTTGTAATTCCTTACTTGTAGCGCCACCATTATATTCCGTTTAGCCGTTAGTCTGTTATAGTGTATGATAAAATGCCATTCTGATGATTGTCATTACATAATCATTTCAACAACAGTATTGTTATTAATGTATAGAATAGGAGATGTGGTATGATGTCATTGAGACAACTACCCACCAGAAACCAAATGACGTACTGGATGTTAGCAACTACGTGTCATTATACGGCCTTCAACAATGAGCAAAATTCATACCACATAACTAGCTATAAAAGACCCCGACATGACAATTATAGGTCACCTTACGGCCTTCAACAATGAGCAATATCCATACCGCATAGCAAGCCATAAAACGCTCGTCATGACAAAATGTTACATTATTCAAACCTGAATTGACTGTTTTAGTTTACTGTATACAGAATATAGTTACATATTTTAATGTACCACTCAGAAATAAGTATCGACAAAATAAAACACATATCAAACAGAAACCCATGCAAAATATAAACAGTTTTAATGGAATTCTATGCGACTGTCATACAAGTGAGAGGTTTTGCTAGCTATAAAACCAGGTTTAATCCACCATTTTCTACATTATGAAATGCCTGTACCAAGTCAGGAATATGACAGTTGTTTTCCAGTCGTTAGATGTGTTTGAACCTTTGATTTTGCGATTTTATAAAGGACTTTCCGTTTTAAATTTCCCCCTGGAGTTCGGTATTTTTGTTATTTTACTTTTTACACGTAAAATGACTAACTCACAGTCAAGTTATTACCTGCTTTGACTAGATATTCCTCTGCCGTGTGTTCGCTCGTGACTCTACAACCTATAGTAAAACAGGCATTCCATTCCCACGTTGTTCCGCCTGGATGACACACATTGTTCTTGTCTGTACAGCCTGTATTAGGAAATAAGATAAATAAATAAAGAATTTCAAAAGTTTTCAAAACAGATGTTACCTGGGGATACTGGCTAAAAAAAAACAGATACCATACCTTTCATTACAAATTGTCCAACGTTTGTTAAAATTTTGAAATACTGATCTTTAACTATTTCATTCTTATACCGCCATCAAATTGAATTGTAAGTGTTGATAAAACAAATGTCTACTATCTATCATATTAATTTGCAATGTACTGTAGCAGCAAAATAAAACGTGTGATTGATGTTTAGGTTAGTATTTAGTATTTAAACATCTCTACTGACTTTCAAAATTTTTCGAATAAAAGTAGTTTATCTGCTTTTAACAAATCTTTTCGTGTACGTCTAAACTGCTATTCAAACTATTTCCAAAAGTGTTTCTTGTAAAGGGCCTTTGGTTTATATCGTAATGAAGTCTATTGCGAAAGAAAGATAACTCTACTTTTACTCTATATTAAGATATGAATACTTGCTTCAATATTAATCGGCATCAATAACCATAACCTTCAGAAATATTTATAAATTGTTACAGAGTTCTGATCATCTATAACTCATTTCTGTTTCTTTAATCTTATATTTAGTAAGTCGACACGGCTAACATGATTTGTTAATTTTTTCTCGTTTCCTCTTTCTTTACCCTAAGTATTCATACTGCATGTTTGTCTTTAGTTTACAATGTATCATTGTTTTGTCCCCTTTAAGCCTTCAAACTTATCTTCTTATTTTTCAATCAAAATCAGTTCGTGGTTGAATTGATTCACGGATAGTTAACATCCTAAGGGGATATTTTAATGTCATAGCTAACGCTAGCTTAAGAAGACCTAAGTAACAAACCAAACTGCAGGAAGATTTGTCAATATACCTCTGCTTATACTGACTAATGACTCTTACAACGATATTGAAATAATATTGGTCAGTGTGAAAATAAGCCAGATGTAATTTTTGTTTACAATTGATATTAACCTTCTTACCGTATAATGTTGTATTAAATGTATATCCGTTTCCTTTCTGTTGACATGTTGTTTTCTTGCATGTCTCAATATCATCTCTATATTCGCCAAACTGTAAACATGTGCCTTCAATTAAACACCCTGAACAACAAATAAAGTATAATTTGTCTGGTTTCAACTATTCAATAAACATGGTCAGCTGTTAAAGTCATCATAATGCAATTTAAGTTTGATCAAAACCCATATAACATAAACTCTACTCAATATGCACCAAGCTCTTTTGATTAATGATTAATTTAAGCCAAAACAACCAAGATAATTGTAAGTGTTATTTTTTAACTAGACAGATCTCAACTGAGTTTGACCTCAAAGCGTGATCCATATATAGCAATAAAGGAACATGTTTGCTTTAAAAAGGCAAGGAGAAAATGTAATCGCTCCGATCATCTCATCACTTTTGCAGTAAGTATTTATATATATTGATTCTTACTTGCTTAAAGTCCAATGGCATTAATTAAATATATATTAAGGACGAGAACAAATTACGAATTAAAATAATAGTAGGTTCTGCAAGGTGGGACCATCAGGATAAAAGGCGGGAAACTTTGAATGCCACAGGAAAATACGAGTCAGACATTTGCATTGCAACAGGTCATCTTTGGATCCCTCGGATAGTTGTTGCAAGTTTCTTTGACATATATAGCCTATGTCATAAGGCGTCACACTCATTCTAAACAAGACATGGGATACAATGTCCCAATTCCGACTAGATGGGCTACGAATTTATTCATCCCACACAAATAAACGATGCCTAACTGTAGCTTAACAAAGGTTTTACTGCCTAAACGGGAGAAGTCGAGAGTTGACCATACTGTTATAACTTAGTAAACCCTTGGAGTAAAGTATATCTAAATGCGGTATTCGAACCTGATATATTCTCTGCAGCTTCATTATGATTAATGAAAGAGTTCACTAAATTCCTGGTAAAAGGAAAATGTCATAAATGACGATTATAAAAGAGAGGCGGAATATACCAAACATGTTCAAACTCAAAAGTCAGAGAAAAACTGACAACGCCATAACAAAACCCATAAAACGACCAAAAGACAAACACAACATAAAAAGCTATAGACTGAGAAATACGATCCCTACCAAATACAATAAAAGAACTGTAGATCTTTAATAGTTTCTATCTAATTAATTGTCATCTTTTATAGAATTGGATGATTTTGAACTGTTCATATTAAATAGACTGTTATCTATTGTATAAAACTGCATGCTGTTTCCATATATCGTTTGATTATTGATATGGTTATATTGCACTCTCCTTGACATATACCAGTATATTCCTTCAATCATACATGCCAAAATACTGCTTGCATCATTTTATGATATCAGTTGTCGTGGACATATTTCTCATAACCCAATACATAATATGTTCTAAACTATTTGAATGTGACATTTTTGAATGTTTTGGACAGTGCAATGGAATTTGTGGAATGTATTGGATTTGCGGATAAAAATAATACTTCCAAATCTGATGAAGGCTATATAATGTATAAACATTCTCTCTTACCCATAGTCAGTCACTTCAGCTAGATACAGTTATTTGTTTGTGCAAAAACATCATTTAGTATGTTGTGAATTATCGAACGCATGCTCTCCGTTGGCGACGAAAGATGCTTCAAAATTTGGGGAGGTGACAAGAAAAGGTGTATTAAAGACGAGAAATGTGTTTGTATTCTTTAGGATTTTGCATTTAATAAGCAAACAAACGCCCTTAAAATAGAGAAAGAAAGAAAAAAAAAGAAAAAAGAAAAAAAGTGGAATATACATTTTATAATATATTTCATAAGCCATTTTTTCCAATTCTGTTCTTCCATCGGCGAAGTAAAACTTATTTGAGAGCCAAATAAAGAAAAAGGAAATAGCTATAGGCATTGAGATATTGTCAACTTCATATTCTTCTGTCTGTTAACCCCTATTTTACTCTAAGTTACATACAGCATTCTTCCGAAACACACCAAAAAATAATTTTGAAATCTCGACAGACATAATACAAGCTTAAGGTGCCTTTTTATATTTTCTCTAGAATCGTAATTCACTTGACTGTAACTAGATAAATCAATTTGAAAAAAAAACATTTCCTGAGTGGAACTAACAGTGAATCCACTTTGACGAATTTAAGGTTTTAAAGGGAGAGGGCTTCTTAACGGTAAAATCTGGCATGTTGATAATTATAGCCCAACTGTAATAATTCTAAATATCCGAATTATCATTTTATCATTGTTGTATATGTCAAGTGAATGCATCACTAAGTTTTCTGGTCAAAACTAATCAAGGTTGTAATCTAAATAGAAAATGTTTCAGATGGGAGAAGAAATAAAGTATCTATTGTAAGCTCCATAGAATTAATGAAGCACACTTAAATTAGTATTTCATGTCTTTTGAGCATTTCAAGACATAAAACATTGTCAAAGTATAAGTCATAGTAATAATTAAATATCACATCAGATAACAAAGATAATACCTGTCTGTATCTAGTTGACATTGAACTAAACCCGAGAAAATGTGTGTGTTATATAGCTTGTTTTCAATGTGCTGAGATAAAAAAAAAAAAAGGAATGAAGGCATAATCAGTTACAATCATAGGTCTGTTCTATGTTACTTAGGAATTTCAACCAACGATGAAGAACTGGATTTTCCTTCAGTATATTGGATACATAAATTACAAAAGTGTCCTTACAAACAACGTTATATTGTTGGGTCTTCCAAGTGCTTCACGAAACCCCTTTCTAAATAATTAACATCAATTTTACCAGCAATCGAAGCCGGGCTTCAAATTATTTTGAAACTACCTATCCTAGAGTCGGCGTGAATCAGATGAGTATACTAAAAATTTCCAAATATCTGTTAGATTACATACAATCCAAGACTCTTGCGTCTTGCAAAAGTATTAAAATTTTGACTTTTTCTACACTTTACACACGAATTCCCAATTCCAAACTAAGAGACAAATTGAAAGAGTTGGTACTGCTTTGTTTTATTAAAAAAAATTACCAACGAAGATACAAGTATCTTGTCTTAGAAAGGGATAAATCGTACTTCATAAAAAAAAACACTCTGATTCAAACAAAAGATTCTCTAAAACTTTATTATCAAGATGCTTGATTTCTTGATTGACAACATATTTGTTAAAATGTACGTTTAGAGGACGTGTTTTTCAACAATCGGAACCAATTATGCTCCTCTTCTTTCTGACTTGTTTCTTAATTCATATGAGGCTGACTTCATACAGGAGTTTCTTAAGAAGAATAAAAAGAAGCTAGCTTTATCCTTAGCTTCACTCTTTGCTATATATATAATGTCCTCTCACTAAATAATTAAAAAAGTGTGGTGCCCGTTTTTTCCCCATCGAACTTGAAATAAAGGATACAACAGATACAGTTAAGTCTGCCTCATATCTTGACTTACATCTAGAAATTGACAATAGGGGTCGGTTCAGAACATAGATTTACGACAAAAGAGATGATTTCAGCTTTAAAATTGTGAACTTTCCTTTTGTATGTAGCAACTTTCCAGCAGAGCCTACATATGGAATATATACATATCTTCCAGGTGATACGATATTCCAGGTCTTACGTTTCCTATCATAATTTCATTAATAGAAGGTTGCTTCCACAGGGAAGTTATTAAACCAAGAGTTCGGAGTAGTGAAGTTAAAATCATCCATTCGAAAATTTTATGGTCGCCATCACGAATTGGTAGATCGTTATAGAATATCTTTTCATAGATGACGACGAATGTTTCAACCGTCGTAACCACAATCCCGTCCTTCTTCTCCCCGAATGTGACTATCGAATTAGACTTATCACCGGGTTTGTACTTACATGAGAAACACGACGGATGCCACATGTGGAGCAGGATCTGTCTACCTTTCCGGAGCACCTGAGATCACCCCGGTTTTTAATGGGGTTTGTGTTGCTCAGTTTTTAGTTTTCTATGTTGTGTTTTGATTTGTCTTTTGTTTCTGTTGTTTGTCTTTTAGTCGTTTTCTTTTTTTTTTTTTGCCATCCATATGAATAACGACTGTTTGTATAATAAGACTTTATCAAAACGTAAAAAAAGGAGTTGTCAATAAAAACTCAAGCAGCTATCTTATGCAAATTTCAGAGATTTTTTGTTCGAATCGAAGTGGCAGGTTTTTTTTTACAAAGTACAATTCGTTCCTTTCTAACAAACCACATTTTCACATCCATTCTATCATTAATCAAAACAGGATTCCAGAATAACCTCTGTGAAACTACTTACTTAAGAGATGATCTGGTTGGATGTGGAAACCAAAAATCTTGTTTAAATACATTGAAAATATCAAAAAACAAACCTATGAATTTTTCCGACGCTTTTCCGTCTGAACAGGTGATTTCTTTACATGCTGATTTGTCTGTATGTGTATCACCGTCAGCCAATGTCAATTCGTCGTATGTACATGACTCTGAGTGAAATGAAGACAATATTACAATTGGTAGTCGAGTTTTATCAAATGAATCATATGAAAATTCATGATAGTACTGTTATGAAATAGCAGATAATTTTCTGTCGAAGAACATCCACCTACACAGTATGTAGACAAAAGCTTGCTATTGTTATAAATATGTTTATTGTCAATAAAAAAATGGTATCAGGAGCTAATACCTTAAATACATTATTTCATCGCAAAAGAAAGAATTGACAAAAAATCATATGCAAATGTTAAATCCGTAGTTAAAGTACATCTGTTTTATATGTGTAAACCTAAATTACATACAATATAAAAGACAGTAGGTAATACACATTGATTATGCAACTGCAATAATAAACTTGTTAAATTATCATATATTTAATTTTACTTGGATTATTCGAAATAATAGTTAACATTCTTACATAGTTAATAACAAACAGTTCATTAATCATTCGATTAAGCCGCTTACAAACTATAAACTACAATTTTAAGGTGCACGTCATATGAGACAAACAAACTTGATTTCATAGAACTTGACTTTCAAATAAATCATATGTTTTCTATTTCATATTATAACTTAGGAACCATGGCATGTAGAATAATAAACAAACTGTTTTAGGTCGTTTTTGCTGATGATTAATATTAATTTTATTTAAACTCATTAAAAGTATATGATAATCAATTCAATAGAAATTGAATATATTATAACTTTTAACAAAATAAAAATATTGTATAATATATAAGACAACTTACGAGAATTAACACTGCTCAAGAAAGTAAGCAATATTAAACCTGCAATCATAACTTTTATTCTGAAAGTAAAGATTGTTAAATGCATATAGTCTAATGATAATATATTATTTTTTAATTTTATTTCCCTTGCAAAAAAATGAAAGCACTTTATAAATTTCAAGCTTCCGACATAAAAATAATAGCCAAATGCATTTAATAGTGTTTAAGGTCAACTTTGCCTGAGGGGGTGGACACATTAGGTTCTTACTAATTTCTTAATTTATAAAAGGACAATTTAAAATAGAAAAAATGTAAGTGAGGTGTAAGTAAAAACGTTAGTTAAAAATAATTTAGTGAACTTGGGAAATACACTGTTTTAGATCATCGTCAACTTACTAATATTCAAAAACATAGGTTTTTTCGATGATCGTTTGTGCAAGTAATGATTTGTCAACATCAAGAATTTAGCCATCCCTATTGTCTATTATTAGTAGCCCATATTTCTTTTATAGCTCCTGCTTTGTCTTCATTACACTTGGTTTTCAGCGCTCCAATTTAAGTAACACGAGAAACAATGTCTTCAACCTATACCAAAATTTTTAATTTACAGTGTAGATAATACATTGAGAGTCATATAATTGCTTATATCATGACAAATTAATCGTAGCTTGTGCCAATATTTTAAAGAAAATAGTTATTATTTTTAATACAAGTGTTTAATTCTCATATAAATATTCAACTAATGCTATCAATTTTACTGTGCCAGATGTGGATTTAAACAATGAATGTCTCTTCATTTGTGCTCCAAAACTAAAACTAAAACCATATTCATTGTGTACAAAGTTTGAAATATAGCAAATTCAATGATATTGAATCAGAGCTATACATAAGAGAGATACATTCGTAAATTTGAAAACATTTTCTATGAAAAAAGTACCCCTGTTGTGTCAGGGGGAGGAGAATGTTAAGACCATGGGAGGACGTGTGTATTGAATACAATTTTTTCAGATACTGTTGCAAAATGACACTTCATTACTTATATCCAAAAAGGACAAAAGGGAAAAAGAGCTGTGTAAAATCTAAAAAAAAATAAATACAGGCCAAACGTACGCGGGATTGTGCATAGTTTCGGGACCTTTACACCTTGGTATGTGGTCGAGTGTACTATTACAGATGTACAAATAATCACAGTTTATTACAATGTATCATTTTCAATGTATTGAGTTCTTGTTTTCATTAAGTTCGAAACGGTTGTATCTTACAGTTGTTAATGGTAATCACATCTACCTAATATTCGTATTTTTCTTTCTTACATAAATAAAAACTAGATTGAGAAAAATATATCAAACCTCTAATTTCAAACAGTCCATAAATAAAGGCTTTATATCGACGGGCCTTGGAAGTTTACATGTCAGATCAAGATTTATTTATTTGGTTTTCATTCACAAAATTGTTGCACAAGTACTTTTTGTGAATACATGACTGTATATCAGATTGGAATGTGTACATTTTATATTAAGTGTTTTCATGTGTACTTTTACTTCAAAGAACCATCTGAGATTATCATTTAAATATTTCAACATGTATCTTATGATTTCAAAATGGAATTGCTTAACATTTTAGAATGCTTTTTCATATCGATCATATAAGAAAATATTAATTTTGTCACAATTTTTCAAGTTAATAATACTTTAATGAAAGCAATTACACATGATAATACTTGCCTTTGACCTGTTTTATGTAACAATATCATTGACATTAGTAGAAAACTTCAATTTTAAGTTTTAGCAAATTATTAATTCATAAGCTCCTAATTACACTCAGTTTTCATAACACGATTAAAATCTGTATGTATTATATTCAGCATACGTCAATTCATTTCTATGTCTAAATTTTAAAATGGCATAGGTTAAAAGAGAACACCAGAAACGATATTGAACGCGAAAAGACTTTTACCTTTTAATTGAAAATGAAAATAAAAGAGAAAATAGGTATATTTTACTTACCTTTGTCGTGTTCGGAATTAAAGTGTACGACACAGAGCTCTGTTTATCCCAGCTGGAAGTGATTATTGGCATATGGTCAAAATTTATCAATTAACTGTAGAATCAAAGTCAATATTCATATATATTTTAGATTTATTTTCTTCGTTTATCTTCAATTTATTTTTATTTTATAACGCCTGTCATGATTTGGCGAAGACACTTTTATTATTATACATGTTTAATCGGTTTACTGTAAAATTACCGATTGTCCTATTTTTTGTCGAACCTTTATTTGTATATGTGGTAAACAAAAAGAAGAAACTCATTTAAAGTTTGTATGTACCGAGATTAGACTCGTCTTCTCTGCATGTTAATGAAATGCCCTAGAATATAAGGTTGTGATAAAAATGTTGATGAAAAAAAATATTAAAATAATAATACAATATAACTTGTTTTCAACATTGAATGATCACCTTTATTAATAATTTGATGTTAATACACCTTTTATAGTTAATTATAATGATGTTTATCTTTATTAGCATACTTTCCCTATGCTTTTGTTCGTGTCAACGCAAGTAAAGTTATCACTTTTATACATTTTCTGGCTTTCAAATATGTAGATTACAGCATTACTGGTGCAGTTAAATTCAGAAAGCGCTTCGTACGCACGAACTGTATAAAGCGTTATTTTCCTTTTCTTAAATAGTGCTCTCTCTGAAATGATGAAAAAGCAAAGAAATGCCCCCACAATACTACGCAATATCAAGTCTCTGTCGGTTAATGTACATCAAGGTATTCCACTATTTGATAAAAAGGAAAACTCGTATTTACGATGTGACTGTTTGTTTTCGACTTATGAGTTGACAATCCCTTTGGTATAGTCCGCCTCCGTTTTCTAATGTTGTTTACTAGAATTTTGTTTAATGGACAGTTGAGAAAAAGAAGGAATAGAATAGTGGTTCATGACAAAAAACCATATATGTACATTTGACCTCAATTTTTCGGTCTGATTGGGGAAAATAACGTCATTTGTCATGTCATTAGAAGTCACTGCTGCATATGCATAACCAGTATATTCTTCTATTTCTGTATGTGTGACCGAGTGGCCATTTGTAGGGTGCAGTCCAGAAGGCTAGTGTGTATATGCCCAACCTGACGTTTCATTCAATTTATTCATTTTCTTTAAATTTGTTAGAAAATGTGTTGGTATGAACCGATACGACGTATCTATGTCTTAGATCTTTAGATACACAAATAGTCATTTGATTCGGTATTTTACCGATTGTGTTGTATTCCCGATGATATCAATTAACTGAGGATGGACTCTCATGTGGATTGATGCATGCATAGCAGGAAACGATTACCCTGTCGACACACCCGATCACGATCCTTTTTGGAGTTTTTTTTTTTATGCGATCCATTAATTTTTGTTTGGTACCCTGATTAGAATAGTTTAGTTTATATATGAGATTTTAACATCGGTAAACAGAAACGCGCCGTCTGGCGTTAACACATTGTCACCTTGTTATATTTAATGAGTTTTGAAATATTGTTGATTTATACAGAATGGATCAGTTATTTCATTTCGCTTTTCTTCGTAACTTCTTATGGTCAGAATTCCGAGTAACCCGAACAACTTTTTTGCTGTCCTTTTTTGGTTATATTTATAGCTGTACTCGTATTGAAGTACTTTTACATCGCTGGATTTTAATTCTTATAGGTTTGTGTGGTCCTTAATGAAGGTATATCTAGGGAAGAGCTTTAATTTGGACGCACTCAATTAGTAAGTGTTTTGTTCATTTGTTTGTCTTAAAGTTGTTTGTGTAACGTTGCCACAGATAAAAAAAATGCTTTTCTTGATTTATTTATTAATTTTCCGATAACATATGCATATATACAACACGAAATCACAATAAGTAGTTTAAAAAAGCATGAGTTTATCAAACCAACAAACATCAATAATTGATGAATTTGTGACAATCAAAAAACATACAGAAACGTATGAGATATCAGGTAGATTGTAATGGTTAGCATAAAGAAAAAATGTAAATTATATAAAAATATATAATCTTGTACAAGGCGTTGAAACAGGTAGAATGTGTAGCATTGCCGAACATTTCTATCCTGTTTCGAGCCGAGATCGATTTAAAATTGATTAGATACAATGCATCGTTGTTTTGTTAAATGTATACTGCAATCTTTAAAACTGTTCCAAGTGAAATTTTTCGGTTAAAATCAACAATTAACATGTTCTTGGATTAATTTGCACTTCTCATGAGTGCAAATTAGAACCACACTTTTTTTTAACGTAGAATCATCAAATTTGGCAATTATGTACCTCTGGGGATAGGTAACAGAATACAAAAAAAAATTTGGTGTGGCTCACCTGGTTCGGCAACTGGAGTGAAAACAGTGACAAAATCCTGTAGGATATTTTTTATTCCCATAGGATTTTTAAAAATCCTACAGGATTTTGAGAAATCCTATAGGATAAAGTCATAATCCCATAGGATATTTTTGTATATCATACAGGATATTTAAATCCCTTAGGAGAATAAAAATATCCTATAGGATATATTTTCTCCCTTAGGACTAAAAAAATCCCTTAGGAAAAATAAATCATTTCCTACAGAATATTTTTTATCCTATAGGATATTTGTCTAATAAAATAATCCCGTGGGATAAAAAATATCCGATAGGATTAATAAAAATCTTAAGGGATTTCATTACAGAAAAAATATCCTGTGGGATAAAAAAAAATCCTAAAGGTTATAAATAAATCCTAAGGGAGAATAAAAATCCTATGGGAGATTAAAGCAAATCATAAGAGAGAAAAAAATCCTATGGGAGATAGAAATCTCCTATGGGAGAAATAAATATCCTATGGGAGAAAGAAATATCCTATGGGAGAAAAAATCTATTTTGGAACAAAACCAAAGAGAATGTTTTTATATGTTCTTGTAGTAAGTAAAGGTATTATTTTATTTGACCAAATATCCCCAGATTTCATTGTTCAAGAAATGTAAATTTTACTACCAATGACACAAATTCCCGATAATTGTACTTCAAGCATGGAGCTTGCATTCAGTTACTGCTACTGGTCCTTTGTTATTCTATGTTTATTATTGCCATTTGCGTAGTTTCTTATGTTACCTATACTAACATCGGACTCTGACTTCTTTTAAATTGAGTTTTCTCCTGTTTTATGCAGTATGGTTGTTTATTCCTCATTTGCTAAAGGAACAGGGGCAGGTTGAGATACCAAAAGTCATAAATTACATTTTATCATCTAAACCAAAACTGTGAAAAAAATGAGAAGCAATTTCAAACAACACATGGTGTTTGGGCTAAGAATACCACCAGCTCTTTATTAAAAGTAATGGCAAGACGGAAATATGCGTCCAACAGATCTATCCAATACACTACAATTACATAAACAAAAACCTTTGAAAATCGTATATAAGTGGGTTTTTTTTATTAAGTATATGTAGCATTCCATGAAGATTTATTTAAGGTTGAAATGTCTGAATAGTTTTGCCAGTTACTATATTTCTTCGATTTTGTCCTCAATATGCATGTAGTATTTGCAACTGAACATTTACATTAACTTACAGCAATAAATCATAAAACAGAATTCGATAATAATCCAAATTTTATGAAACTAAAAACTAGATGTTCTAAAGAGAGTGTGTTGTTCACCTAGATCTATGTGCATCTCCGACAACAGACACATCAACATGTTAGACTAGAATATTATTCGTGACTAAAACTTTCTTTTTTTTTAATTATTATTGCTGATAATTTCACACACAAATGTATGTACTTGTTGATCATTGGTTTATACAGATAGAAATTTACTATTATAGATAGTTACAATTTAAAATATATGTTAAAAATAAGAGAGAAAATAATCATATAAATTGCATACATTTAACATATTTCTGTACATAATAGGAACGGGTATACGAAATTTTCTTAAATGTTGTAAGGGTAAATACACAAATAATTTGGTTTATAAATATAAAGACAATGAATACACACATATTATAGGAATAACATCTCATCAACTATAGCATTTCATAATTGTAATTTTTGGTTGAATAGTGGAAGGAGTCATTTAAAAAATGTACATGTACGCTGTGGTTAGTAGTAGTTATTCAACTTCCTAGAAAATCTGCATAGCCGCATTTGCTTTGTACACACCATAAATATATTTCCAGTTTATTTCTGTCATTATTGTTGTTCGCTTACGATAGTATACATATAGGGGGCCGGTACGTCTAAACACTGCTAAGAACTCCTTAGTGCACTAAAGACTTGTGATATACCACTTAGGACTAGAAAGGGTGCTGTTACATGTACATTGTTTTCATATTTTGGTAAAGATTGATATTTAATACATACTTTTCATTTTTTATAGAAAAAGAACAACAAATAAATCAGCAATTGAACAATATTTAGGAACGTGCCGCAAATCAGTAAACGGTTGATAGCCAACTTACATAACAACTGATGAAAAAAACATAATCTTTCTTATTTTAAGTAATAAACAATTGTAAAGACTAGTGCTAAATATGTACAATCAAATATTTTGTACTTATTTACAAATATTAAAAGAACAAATCATTTTGCTTCTGTTTTATTTCTCTTCCGATAAACTTTATTGTGTGCATGGCTTTGATGTGCGTCAACTCTTAAGTTAGAATATGATCAGCTTGTTAAAATGTTTATGTATTAAAAAGTTTTATCAAGAAAAAAGTAATAGAAATGTCGACAATAACAAACTTTGATATTCTATGCTCTAAATAGATATAAAAATATGTGGTATGAGTGCTAAAATTACAGTTGATTTGGCAATAGAGGAAAAAGTGTTCCTCTTCACCGAAAATTTTACAAACTTTACACACTCTGTGTTCTCTTTGAATTTTTTTTTATATCGACCTATTTCAACTTCCAAGTTATGGTCACCTACGCGGAATTTTGTTAAAAGTTGAGGACTATTAAAAAAAAATATAGGTCAAAGAACGGCATTCAACACGGAGCCTTGTCTAAAGAGAGCCTCAA